TCAGCAGGGATGTTTGTGGTGAGCTAAGAAGGTGAATTCTTGGTTTGAACTTATTTTCCCGCACAGCAACCAAAAGGGCTGCTCGTCAACCCACAACATCACATGGGGACGAGATGGGGTAGAGGCAGGGCAGCTGACTCGGGATGCGAAAGTCCCAGGTTTGATCCCCAGTCATTGCACATGTCGTGGTGTCTCTGAGCAGGACACCCTATCCTCAGTTGTTCCCCAGGCAGCTTTCAATAGCTGCCCATTGCTCCCCCTGAGTGTATCCCAGGTGCGATGGATTAAATGCAGAGAGACAATTTCGCTATTGTATGGGAACATGCAGTGATGATAACACGTTATTATTATTATTGTCAGCTGCATTGAGGTCTTTGGTAATTGTTGCTATTAAGGTTGTTTTCACACCTGATAGTCCGGTAGACTCGGTTCAGTTCGGGACAAATATTCATGACCTTTTGTTTACATTTAAGCTGGTGCGTTTGCATTCAAACTGCACTGTGCAGTTGAGCCAATCTGTTGAACCAACCTATTCCCCCGCTCGCCTGTGGGGGCGCTGCACCAAGAACTACTGAAAGAAACGACACAAAAACCTCTGAAGACACGTCTTCTTCTTCTTCTTCTGGAAATTAAAAAAAAAACGGAGTGGCATCAAGTTTTAGCAGTTTTAGGAGTTATATTTTGTCATTTTTCAACAATGGACTTAGCATGAGCAGAAGATGAGGAAGAAGACCATGGAGAATGTTGTTTTTCACACAAGGCAGCTGACGGCTCCATATGAGGTAAGAGAAATGCGTGTTTGTTTGCCCTGCGCTGTACTCCACTTCTTGCTTGTGGAGCGGGACCTGGTCTGTTTACATTCACACTGTACTCTAACCGCGCTGGAGTTTTCTTCTACCGGACCGAGACCTATGTTTTAGCCCAGGCCAGAGTTTGCCTTTTTGTTCCATGACAGAGTTCGATGGTGCGTTCACACCTCCCTAAACGAACCGGACTTTCTAGGAAAACGAGCTAGAGTTCGATTAAAACTGACTAAACAGGGCTGGTGTGAATGCACCCTAAGCTAACCTCAGTCTCAGTCTCCATTAACAGACGCTGCAACAACTTTAAGAATCCACAAATCTCTGCATGTCTGTGTTTTAACTGTTATTTGTGTACTCTGGTTTAACTTGGCAGTTTGTGTGGACACCCAAGGAAGAGCTACAAATTGTTTTTTGTGATGCTTTAGTTAAAAGTTCTTGGTAGTTTTAGCATTGGATGAATTGAATAGACACAACTCATTTTCTACATGGGTTAATTTTTTTGCCCGTTCAGGTTCTAGATTATCTATAAGTCTCTTGATTCAGCCCAGGAACCACCTTCAAGTATCTTCCTAATGAGATTGCCTGATGCCCTAGCATGTTGTCTTCTCTTTTTCCTGTAGCAGGTTGTGTGCGTGTCAGACTGTGTTCATCTCAATCTCCATCTTATCTGTAGTCGGGGTGCAGATGCAACAGATCCAGGAGAAAAACCCAGACATCCCTCTCCCAAATGATACTTTTCAGCTCCTCCTGGGTGACCCCAAGGTGTTCCCAGGCCAGAGAAGAGCCCCAGGTTCTCTTCCCAGGGAGATATGCCTGAGAAACCTCCAAAGGGAGACGTCCAGGAGGATCCTCATCAGATGAACCACCTCAACAGACTCTTTTCAATGAAGAGGAGCAGCAGCTCTACTCAGAGCCCGGATGACGGAGCTCCTCGCCTTATATCTGAGGCTGGGTCTGGCCACCTTACGAGGGAAGCTCACCGCTTGGATCCAGGAACTTGTTCTTTCAGTCATGATCCAAACTGTATGACCACAAGTGAGCAATGGACAGAGCAATAAATCCAGAACCATCAAAGTTGTCAGGTCCTCTGGACAGTTTCTTTTTTTGTTGAAACATTTTGTCTTTCATCCAAAGGACTTCATCAGTTCGATGAGCCACAACAAACTCAGTCCCACAAGCAGCACACTCGCATAATGGGCCAACCAGTTGCCTCAGTGGTTGCCTCAAAGAAGTCGATGGGGGAGAGGGCGGACTCCAGAAACCACCTTATCACCATCAAACTGTTTGGTCCACTATGTGAGTGTGCTGCTTGTGGGACTGGGTTTGTTGTAGATCCTCGGACTGATGAAGTCCTTTGGATGAAGGACGAAACGTTTCAACAAAAAAGAAACCGTCCAGAGGACCTGACTGAACATTGTTGGATTTTTTTTACCTAGATTATTGAGCATGAACTTTGAAGTAAATCCAGACCTTTGCCTTTTGACTTAAATCTGTCTTCACCATTACAGTCCAAAACAACACCTTCATTACTGAAGACAAGGACTGATTTCAATCAATCAATCAGTCAAACTTTATTCATAGAGCCCTTTCCAGCAGCCAAAGGGTGCACAAAGTGTTGCACAACACAGAAGTTAAAAACAAACAATTAAGAATTAAAAAACAGATAGTTAAAAATGAAAAACAAACAATTAACACATAGCAAGATTGCCAAAGAACTACTAGGTATTAAAAGCCTGCCTGAATAAAAAGATTTTAAGTTTAGACTTAAAATGCTCCATATCAGTGATGGAGCGCAAGTCCTGAGGTAGATGGTTCCAGAGTCTGGGTGCAACGACAGAAAAGGCCTGGTCACCCCATCGTTTGTAGTTGGACTTTGGGATGGACAGTAGAAAAGTATTGGATGATCTCAGTGTTCTCCTATATTCACAAACAGCAATAAGATCAGTCAGATATTGTGGGGCAAGACCATTGATAGCTTTAAAAGTAAAGAATAAAATTTTCAATTTAATTCTAAAATCGACTGGAAGCCAGTGGAGAAAAAATAAAACAGGGGTAATGTGCTCACATCTGGAGGTGTTAGTTAAGAGTCGAGCTGCAGTATTTTGGACCAATTGAAGGCGTCTAATGGAGGATTGGGAGATTCCTGCATATAGGGAATTGCAGTAGTCAAGCCTTAAAAAGATAAAAGCATGAATGGCCTTTTCCATATCAGAACAATTTTTAAAAAGACAACTTTGGATAAGAGACGTAACTGATAAAAACAGGCCTTGACTTCAGAGGCTATTTGTTTATCAAACTTCAAGTCCTTGTCAAACGTCCCCCCCAAGTTTTTAACTGTAGGTCTGAACTTGGATGTCAGAGCACCAAAGTCACAGGGAGCATCACCAACGAAGAAGATGCACTTTGTCTTTCCTTCATTTAAAAACAGAAAATTATGGTGAAGCCACTGTTTAATGTTGTCAATACAATCAGCAAAAGGTGTGTGAAGGTTACTATTTTTAGGCTTCATTGGTAAATAAATTTGGAGATCATCAGCATAGCAGTGAAAAGAAAAGTGATGTCTGACTATCACTGATCCAAGGGGCATCATGTATAGAGAGAAGAGGAGAGGACCAAGAATAGAACCCTGTGGCACACCACCAGAGAGAGGGACAGTAGAGGAAGACAGATTACCCAACATGACAGAGAACGTTCTGTTGGTCAAGTAGGCAGTGAACCATTTGAGAGCTGTACCAGATATTTCCAACATAGCGTTGAAGATGAGACAAAAGGACAGCGTGGTCCACTGTGTCAAATGCAGCTGTAAGGTCCAGCAGCACCAGAACAACGGAACACTTGGCTTCCATGGACATGGAAATGTCATTATGGACTTTTAACAGGGTTGATTCAGTACAATGATGGGTTCTAAATCCAGACTGACGTGTTTCATAAATACCATGATTTTCTAAAACAGGTTGCAACTGCATAAAAAACAACTTTTTCTAAAACTTTGGCTAAAAAAGGCAGATGAGAAATAGGTCTAAAATTTGACAAAAGATTTGTTGATCCATCTCCCGCTCCTTCCTACCACCACTCAGAAACAAGATGCCCAGATACTTAAACCCCTCCACCAGAGGCAAAAGAGTCTTCTCCGACCCAAAGTGAGCATTCCACCTGCTTCCAGTCAAGGACCATGGCCTCAGACTTAGAGAAGTTGACTTTCATACTAACTCTGATGTAAACCACCCCAGTGCATTCTGTAGGTCTTGGCTCGAAGACGCCAACAGAACCACATTGTTCGCACCCAGTTTCCCAAACCAGACCCCCTCCTCTCCTTGAGATCCTGTCCATGAAGACCACAAACAGGATCTGAGACAAGGGACAGCCCTGGCAAAGTTAGCACAATGAGCTCAAATTTGTGCTAAGAATGCAGACACAGTTCCAGCTCTGGTTCTACAGGGAACAGAGCAGGAGCTTTAAAAGCCACCCAAGCACCCCATACTCCCGTAGCACCCCCACAGAATGCTTCAGTCACAAGCCTTCTCCAGATCCACAAAAGAAGATTGGAGAGTCTAACTCTCATGACCCAGACTCTGTGTTCAGTTAATACAAAATATTGTGCATATTCTTTGTCCCTTCCACAGTGTAGTTTGCAGTGAGTTGGACTTCTGTTCTGACCTGCAGAACCTCTTTCTGTCTGCACTGGAACCCCGCCAATGTGTCATATTAAATGTTGAGCATGTTCTTTTAACTTGTAATATAATGAAGCATTAAATAAACTGACAAATTCAAGAACCTAACTTTTAAATAAAGAGCCTCTGAAATCCAGCTAGGAGTTTCAAATTTAAATCCCACGGTGTCAGAATATTTGAGTAGGCCCTCATTTTTGATTGACACCCCTTTTGACCAACGAGGTCGATTCAGGACTTCTACAGAGTCAATAATATCCACTGAATATTCACTACATACTTAATACATATTGTTACAATACTTTTGACCGCTGAGATCAAAACTCAGAGAGGAGCATCTAATTTAATTTGGGTAGACTTTTTCCAGGCATTTTGATATTTTAAGGGGACTGTTGAAGGGTAAATGATAACCTGAAGTAAAAAGCAACAATGAAACAATGAAAGAAGCATACACATAGGTTAATTTTCTCATTTGTTTTGCAGCTGCTGGAGTCAAAGCCACAGAAGAAGCTAAAAAAAAGACATTTACCTGAATGACCCCCCCTCCGCGGCCATGCGTCCCAGCTATAAAACACTCGGGCAGCTGCAGCATCTTTCCAAGCCAGTCCAACATCACGGTCTCCAGCTCGGTGCAGGCTGGGCTGGCAGCCTGGGAACCACAACGAGCCACATTCAGACAAATACCTCGATCTGATACGAGTCAAACTCTCAGCTTTAAATAAAACATCAAATACAGGAAGAGCGGTGTGTTCGTGTGTTCGTTACCCAGGAAAATCCAATGCAGCCAATGGCACTACACAACATATCAGCCAGCATGGCCGGGTAAGATGAAGCTGCTGGAAAGTAAGCAAAGAACCTGGGGCTGTGCCAGTGGGTGACCTGGGAACAATAAAATAATAAAAATCTGTAAACTAAATCTATTCCTCAATGGTGGGGTTTCAGGTAGAGTCAAACTGGTAAACTGCAACATTTATTTCTAATATTAGGATAAAAGAGTGTAGCTTCATGGGTAGGGAATCCTGAAAATCTTCCAGTAAACATTACAACTAACTGTGGTTCAAACCCAAAACTTTACTGATAAAACAACTTTTTACACATTTCAGTTTTTTATTTTGACAAGATCAAATGTGTCTATTAATGTTTAGTTAGCTTACATTTAAATTAATGTGTGATTAAATCATTTTCAAACATAAAAATTACAGCTTGCTTATTATTTGTCTTTTTTTTATTAAACAGGAAATTTCAGCCATTTTTTACAATTAATGTGTGACGTCAAGCAGCATGACTGTTTCGACTACATTTCTGACCAAGGATTATGCATTAATATTGTAATATTTATTTAAACTATTCAACCTAAAGGAAACTAAAATGTATTTTAACTGCATGACTTCCACACAAACTGATCTAAAAGAAGAATCAGACAAGATAAATGCCTAAAGGTATTTCCAGCTATCCATCCATTATCTTTTACCCACTTCTTCCATTTTGGGTCATGGGGGTCGCCGGTGCCCATGTCCAGCAATCACTGTGCGAGGGGCGGGGTACACACTGGACAGGTCTCCAGTCCATCACAGGGACACATGGAGACAAATGAGACAAACAACCATTCACTCTCTCACTCACACCTAGGGACAATTTAGAGTTACCAATCAGCCTAACATACATGTTTTTGGTCTGTGGGAGGAAACTGGAGTACTTGGAGAAAACCCACGCATGCACGGAGAGAACATGCAAACTCCACCCAGAAAGGCCCCCGGACTGGGATTTGAACCAGGGACCTGCTCTCTGAGAGGCAGCAGCTCTACCAGTTGTGCCACCGTGCTGCCCTAAAGGTATTTTTTAAATTAAAATACATGTTTTTTTTTAACCAAAGCATGTTACTAACAATGGTGAAACATCTATTTTTCTATGATTTGTCTAAGATTTTTCTAAAAGAAAAATTTAAAGTTGTGCTTTTGCAGACGACAGGTGTACTGACTCCTCACCCCTGGCATTATGACTCTCTCCACATCCTGCATTATTTCCTCGAACCGCTCAGGCTCCAGGGGGGCCTCGGTAGGGATTAAATGACGAAGGTATCCCGGCTCCAGGTCCGGGTAAACGGGTCGTTCCTCTATCTTTTCCAAGTAGTCAGCCATGTAGTCCACCATCTCTTTGCCTCTACGTCGAAACTCTGCAGCATCCATGACTGGGCTGGAAAACAACACAGAAATCTGGATTTCAAGGTTCAAGGTTCTTTATTGTCATTTGCATCACATGTGGTACATGAGGTGGAATGAAATTGTGTAGTCATGGTCCCAATTACATCCAACAATAGCAAAGATATAAAATATAAAAAGAAATACGAGGATCTAGGTTAGTATACACTAAACACTAATAATGTACAATGTGTTATATTAAACAGCAGCTTGAACATGAGTCTGTAGTGAGTAGATGGGTATGTATACAGCAGTTTAGAGACAAAAGATCAGCAGCATTTAAAAGTGTGTTTATGTTGGGGCAGACTGAACAGGAGTTTTGATTAATTCTGACTATTCAAGAAAAAACAAAACTAGAATTCCCCAAAGGAAACACCTGAATGTTTTAAGCATCTTGAAAGAGCCTAATGACTTTCAGCTACTGGAAAACAGATTTTAGCTCAAAATCTGCATTGACTGACTTAGAGGCATTTCTGTGTTGGACAAATTAATCAAGTGTAGATGTACAAATAATGATTATTTCCCAAGACTTTCAGTCAAATCTTCCAGTTATTGAACTGTCAACAATGGTGTACCATAAGGCTCAGTCTTAGGACCCACCCTTTTCACAATCTACATAAGTATTGTATGTCAGATCATCCCTGATGCATCCTTAAATTTTTATGCTGATGACACAGTTTATGGTCGAGCTAAAACAATTACTAAGGTTTTCCCAACCTTTACAGTCTCGTTGTGACATAATTAAGTCAGATTTGTTCGGTCTCAACCTTGTGCTAAATGCTGATAAAACCAAAGGGACATTGTTTTCAAACAAGAAGTCAGTCCCAGCAGTTCTTCCTCCCGTCTTATCTACCATTGGTGTTCCTATCGAGTTTGCCGACTTACAAATACGTACTTGGGAATCTTGGTCGATTCACATTTCTCTTTTAAGCCTCATGTCGAAAACTTGATAAAGAAATTGAAAGTAAAACTGGGTTTCTTTTTCTGAAATAGGTCCTGTCTAACTTTGAATGCTAGGAAACACCTTGTAACTGTGACTTTCCTTCCCTCCAGTGACTATGGTGACATTATCTACATGAACGCTCCTGCAAGCACCCTGCAGATGTTGGATGCTGTCTACCTTGGTGCGCAAAGATTCATAACTGGCTGTAACTATCATACCCACTATTGCACCCTGTATTCACTGGTTAACTGGTCATCATTAACTTCATGCAATCTCACTGGTACATACAGTATATTTCCTCCTACATGTCACTTCATCAGTGCAGCTACAGCGTGCACTCTCCAGACATCATTACTTGCAGCATCCCTTCAGTGCGAACTAAACTAGGCAAAAGGGCCTTCTCTTACTCCGCTCCACTAACCTGGAACATCTTGCAAAAAGATCTGAAGCTCTCAACCTTGAACTCTCTAAGAGATTTTAAACAACGGTTAAGTTCATTGCAAAAATCAATGCAGACATGTTCCTGTTTTTAGTATTTTACCTCAGTTTACAATGTAGCTTGTTTTTTTATTTCATTTTGTATCACTTGTTTAATTTACTTTTCATTTTTGATGCTTTTATTTGATTGTCTGTTGTTGTTTGTACCTCATCTGTGTTTTTTGTTTAAAACAGGTCTCTCTTGCAGATGAGTCCTCGTGACTCAATGGGACTAACCTGTATAAATAAAGGTTGAATAAATGAATGCTCACTGCTTCATAAGTTATTTGGCAAAAAAAAATCTATGCACACGCATTCGTGCTCACACACGCAGGCAATGATATTATATTTTATGACAGCAGGTAATAAAGAAACACATTAGCTCACAGGATTAACCTTTGTTCTGACGGCAGCTCAGAGGCTGATCATTAGAAAGTTCACCAGCTTTTAGACCGACTTCCTAAAACTTTTAGCCATTAAATCTGAACTTAAAAGCATCAAGACATCTTTATTTTTATATTGTACACTTCCTAAATGTTCAAAAACACTCAAATCAGTTAAGACATTCCCGTTTTTAAACTTTATATTCACATTCGTCTAGTCCAGATCTTCAATTGTTTAATTAAAAGATTCAATATAAATTCAAGATATTTATTAGACTTTTTTTTTTTTCAAAATAAGAGACATTGTTAGGAAGTGAAATCTTGTGACCCATTTCATGAAGACATCTTTAATGTAATATGAGTAAAAACATCTCTTTTGTAACAGGATTTTTTTGCTAACACCAGGTCTATTGGTATTATTATTATTATTATTATTATTACTGTATTATTTGTTGTAAGGCAGTTTTAACCTGGTCAAAATAAAAATTAAATACACTGACAGCTGGTTTCATGCTGAAACAGAACAACAGTGAAACAGTGTGTGTAAATTAATATAAAGACTTAAAATAAATGTTTTTTTTTATCAGCACTACTAAAACAAGGCCACACAGACAGTGACCTGTGCTCCTTGTTAGTTTTTATAAGCGTGTGCATTTTAAATAAAAGCATGAACCGTTGACCCGTTACCTCCCTCTCATAACTTGGTTTTTGTTCTCTAGGAACAGCAGCTGACAGGAGACATATGTTAAAACATAATGAACGCCTCAAACAATCCTGTTCAAAATAAGGTGAAAACCAACATTTATGTCTAAAATTGTTTTCATCACACCAACATGCAGCTGACAAAATAGAAAAGGTTTAAAAATATTCACGTCAGAGTCAAACCAGGGTCCAACAGAAAGTAAATCATTTGCAGCCTCAGAATAATAAACCAGATTTAGCGTGTGTACAAATCTGTCACATTTTCCTCTAAACAGCAGAAGAAGACGTGAAGTTGTTCTGCACAGCTGCCTTATCATTCAACAAGTGTTGCTGTGCTCAGCCCTTATCCTGAGAATTATCTCCAATAGGATTATACATGCTGGATGGATGTGTGTGTGTGTACTCACACAGTTCAGACCTTTAGCAGCAACAATTGGACACCGTCTCCTCTTCTGTGTCCACAAGCGCATGAACAGCCAGCCTGGCGCGTGTTCAGTGTGTTGGTGTGTGTGTTGGTGTGTGTGTGAGCACGACAAGAGACATTTGCTCTTTTTATCTAGCCTCCCACCACCCCCACCCCACCAACCCCCCATGAGGCGAGCCAATGAGAGAGGGGCTCGCGGCCGACGCAAGGTTAGGCTGATTCACGAGGAGGTAAAGCTTTGAATGAATGGGAATAAACTTTAAACACAAGGTTGGTGCTCAAATAAATGAAGTTTATCCATCGTCCTCCTCTAGACAGTTACATCATCCACAGGGATTTTTATTAGATGTTGCCACATTCTACCTGCTCACATTCAGACATATATTTTAAGCAGTTTTTAGAGTTTTTAATGCTTTAATCTTTGTGTTTCTGCCGTCATATTTTTGTTTGTTCCCCGTTGTGGAACGGAGTGGTGGAATTGGAAATACCCTTGACCGTTACCTCCATCATCAGATTCATCTTGTGAGATGGATGAGTAAAGGTGAAGTACCAATTTCCATGTTGGTGTGTGGTTACATCTAGACTTAAGACATGTTCTATTTGAAAACTGGGTTGCCAGGTCAAAGTCCAAGAGGGCTGCCACCATCTACCTGTATGTGTAAACCTTGTGAGCTGGATAACTTGAAAAAATAAGCAACGTTTTGACTTCCATGTTGGTGTGTGGCTACTAGGTTTTATGTTGCTTAAACATATAGTTTCTTCAAATGATTGGGGTGGCCAACGATTAATCTATGGGATCAAGGCCACCACTGGCCACCCTCTGGCTCCACCACTGTGTGTGGTGGCAGACAAAATTGCTCCTTCCACTCTCCAGGATCCATCACTCTGCGCTGGCTTGGACAATCAAATAAAAAATATCCTGCTGTTTTTCTCCACAGTGTAATTTCTCCCCACGTTAATGTTTGCACCAAAAATATTAAGGTTTACTTACATTCCCTTTTCAATTAGAGTCCAGAAAAAAAAAAACATTCATCTCCAAAACTACAAACATTCACTATTTAAATCCCTCAGAGATGAGGGACATCGACGTACCATTTGTTTTACACAATCCAACAAAGTTATGTCAAGTCCTCTGGATGGATAAAAAAACAAAATAGTAGAAATGTTTTGTCTTTTATCCAAAGGACTTCCTCAGTCTGAGGAACTGCAACAAACTCAGTCTTATAAATAGCACCTTCTCAGAGTGGATCAACCAGTTTGCTGCTGACAACCAAAACCAGCTGCTCACATGGTCAAGAAGGACCATCAGCCTAATGACCGATTGTTAGCACCTTGATGGCCGCTTGCTATTCACAGAGGGCTGAGTGATACTAGCAATAACAGCATTGTAAGAGGGGGACAGATGAACATGGAGGCCTCCACCCCTGTTTAATGGTGGACAATTTCTTTTCACAAAGATGGCCTCCTTTACTCCTCTCTCAAACCATCGTTCCTCTCTGTCCAGGATGTGAACATCTTCATCCCTGAAAGAGTGACCGCTGGCCTGGAGATGAGTGTAGACCGCAGAATCCTGGCCTGATGATGTTGATCTTCTGTGCTGGGCCATCCTTTTGGACAGTGGCTGTTTAGTTTCCCCGATGTAAGACTGATCACAGCCCTCCTGACACTGAACAGCATACACAACATTACTCTGTTTGTGCCGGGGGACTGGATCTTTGGGATGAACCAGTCTTTGCCGTAATGTATTTTGGGGTTTAAAAGCCACTGGGACGTTATGTTTAGAAAATAAACGTCTCAGTTTCTCTGATACTCCCTCAACATATGGAATGACCACTGGTCTGGGTTCCTCCTTTTCACCTGTTGGCTGACTGGAGTCCTGTTTGGGTTTCTTCTCTGCTTTCAGGAAGGCCCAGTTAGGATATCCACATTGCTCTAGAGCCTGTTTTGTGTAGGATTTCTCCTTCTGCCTGGCTCCTGAGCTAGTGGGGACGCTGTCTGCTCTGTGATACAGAGTCCTGATGACTCCAAACTTGTGCTCCAAAGGGTGATGGGAGTCAAACTGCAAATACTGGTCTGTGTGTGTGGGTTTGCGGTACGCCTCAGTTTGCAAATGTCCTCTATCAGAGACTGAGACCTCACAGTCCAAGAAAGCCAACATGCTATCAAGGTTCATGCTCAATCATCCAGGTAAAAAATCCAACAATGTTCAGTCAGGTCATCTGGACAGTTTCTATTATTTTTTTTTGAGATGTTTTGCCCTCCATCCAAAGGACTTAATCAGTCTCAGACACAAACAAACTGTTTTTCCCACTAAGCAGTACACTCCTTGAACGTTGATGTCTTGAACCACTTTGGCTGTGTTGCCTGGGAGGAGTTGACGGGGGAGAGGACAGCCCCCCAGAAACCATCTTATCACCAGCAAACTGGTTGGTCCAAGTCAAAGTTTATTTGTATAGCACATTTACAACAATCACAGTTGACCAAAGTGCTTCACAATAATTACAACATAATAGATAAAAATAACTGTCCATTGTAGGAGTGTACTTCTTAGTGGAGAAAACAGTTTGTTTGTGACTCCTCAGACTGATGAAGCCCTTCGGATGGAGGGCGAAACATCTATCAACAAATAAAAGAAACTGTCCAGATGACCTGACCAACTTGCCATTTTTTACATCTTCTCGTGTGAACTTGATGTATTTATCCACAGAGTTGATGTGGTCAGTAAAATGTTGGACTTCCTGAGATTTAATTTTAACCCAGGTGTCTCAACATACCTGAACCAATGACTTGGTGGTGTCCCTGAAAAGGACGTCAAGGCTCTCTTTTCTACCTCCTTCATGTACAGGTTGGTAACAATAGGAGAAACTGGAGACCCCATAGCACACCCATGTTCCTGCCTATAATATTGCTCCCCATATGTGAAGTAGGTTGACTGCAGGCACAGTTTCAAGATGTGACACAGTTGTTCTGTGTTTCATTGTCCTGAATGTCCTCAAAGTACCAGTCTAGCATACTTCTCTCTGCCACTCAATATCACACCTCCTCCCTCAGCACCCTGTCACATGTTTTTTCTAAATCCACAAAGACACAATGAAGTTCTTTCTGACCCTCCCTGTACTTCTCCATCAGCATCCTCAAAGCAAAGATGACATATGTGGTGCTCTTTGCGGGGATGAAACCAGACTGCTGCTCATAAATACTGTAATTTCCAGACCACTGAGCAAACCTGAATATAAGCTGCACTCACTAAATTTAAAAAGAAAAAATATATATACCTGTATAGGTTGCACTTATCTATAAGCCGCAGGTGTCCACGTTTACACAGAAAGATTTTTCAAACTTTTAATTAAATCGTACCGTAACATACACCAATATGTACAGTAAATACGTTTGTTTGTTTGAACCACTTTGGTTATGGCTGCCTCAGAGGAGTTGACGGGGGAGAGGACGCTCCCCAGAAACCATCTTATCACCAACAAACTGGTTGGTCCACTATGTGGGTGTGCTGCTTGTGGCACTCAGTGTGTTGTGGCAACTCGGACTGATGAAGTCCTTTGGATTCAGGACGAAACACAACAACAACAACAACAACAACAGCAACAACAGCAACAACAACAACAACAACAACAACAACAACAACAACAACAACAACAACACACATAAAAAAATAAACTGTCCAGATTACCTGACTGGACTTTGTTGGATTTTTTTAACCTGGATTATTGAGCATGAACTTTGATGCTTTGAACCATTTTGGCTGTGGCTGTCTCAGAGGAGTCGATGGGCAAGAGGGCAGGTCCCAGAAACCATCTCATCACCAGCAAACTGGTTGGTCCACTATGCAGGTTTGCTGCTTGTGGGACTCTGTTTGTTGTGGCTCCTCAGACTGATGAAGTTCTTTGGATGAAGGATGTAACGTCTCTAACAAACAAACAAACAAAAAAAGAAACAGTCCAGATTACCTGACTGGACTTTGTTGGATTTTTTACCTGGATTATTGAGCATGAACAGTAAAGATTATGTTTTTTTCTGAACAGTGCCTGTAACAAAGCTGGTTAAAAAAAAATACAGTAGCCTACCAGGAAGTCATTGAATGCTATCATCATCTTCATCCTGTGCACTGTGCCTTGTGCTGTCCTCTTCATCACACAGTAGCTTTTCGAAACCCTTTGGTGGTAGAGGACTTTTATTTTACACTGCTCCAGTGTTGGGATCCACTGGCAGACTTGAGCAAAAGTTGCTATGTGCATGCGGCCAGTTTTGGTAAACCATTTCTCACCACCAGTCATCCAAACCTCCCACTGAGCTTGGAGTGCCATATTAATGCATAATTCACACTTATTTGGAGTGGATGCAAGTACGTCATTTTGTCCCCAGGGAGGGGGGAAATAAAACAAAGTTCCCCCCCTTCTCCACTGTGACCTGTTTGATAATTTTATTGTTCTTTTTTTTTTTTTGGTACTTTTTTTGATACAGGTTGTCTCACTGAGTCACGAGGACCCACCCACCAAGAGCCATGTATAGGGCAGCTATGTGAGTAACATACACATTGCTATAGGCGTGATGAGGCTAAATGTTTTGGCGACATGAAGCTTTTTAGCCCGTCAAAAGAAAAAATCCATAAATTAGCTGCAGCATTCTATAAACTGCGGTGTTCAAAGCATGTGAATAAAGTAGTGGTTTATAGTCCAGAAATTATGGTAGTCACCTCTCATCTAAGTCTTGCTTCCACAACTCTCTCCCAAATCTTCATCGTGTGACTCATCAACTTAATTCCACTGTAGTTGCTACAACTCTGTACTTTACCCTTGTTCTTAAAAATGGGCACCAGCACACTTCTCCTCCATTCCTCAGGCGTTTTCTCACCCTCAAATATTCTATTCAATATTTGAATAAAAAAACTCAATGCCATCTCTCCTAGACATTTCCAAACTTCTACTGGTAAGTCATCAGCTACTACCTACAGTCTATGCCTTCACCATCTTCATTCTCTTCTTTATATTTCTGGACTTCACCCTCACTATTCTTTCCCATTTCCTGTTCCACAGTTTCTATGACCCCCTACTCTTCTTTCTCTTTCATTCTCTTCATTCAT